TGAAAGACAATTTTGAGACTGATTTCCTGAATTATCCGATGACCGAATTCATTCCTTCATTCATTTTCCTCCGGCTTAGTCCTATTATTTTTCAGGGGTTGCCACAGTGGAATGAAGTGCCAACTTATCCAGTAGATGTTTTACCCAGTGGATACCGTTCCAGCTGCAACCCACCAGTACTGGGAAACAACCATGAACTCTCGCATTCACACACATACACTACGGCCAATTGAGCTTATTAAATTCACCTATAGCGCAAGTCTTTGGACTGTGTGTGAAACCGGAGCACCCGGAAGAAACCCACGCGAACAACGGGAGAACATGCAAACTTTAACCAGCGACCTACTTGCTGTGAGGCGACAGCGCTAACCACTGACCTACCAGGCCACTGAATTCAAACTTGTTAATTACATCAACAGATGTAAAACTTGTGTATGTGTGAAAAGGAAGCATGTTTAAACCAAACATTGTAAAACCTAACAGTGCAAATCACTAAATGAAACATGTTAGTTTAAATAAGTTACTTTAACTTAATGAATATGAGTAATGGTAACTCATAACCTGATTTATATTGAGCAGAACTCAAGTCGAATGAGTTATGAATTAATTCATTCAATTGTTTTGTGTCAACTCTAACGTAGAAGCAATACCAAACCATTTGAGTAGCTATAAAGTTGTACAGACTTATTAATTATATTAACTGAATTTATACTGATTTATTAAGTGAACTTAAAATACTTAAGTTACTAAAACTAAATGTTTTACCGATATAAACCAATAATATATGTGTAAATTACTCAATACATATAGAAGTTTACAGTACTCAAACCATTTTGTTTCATAACTTGGTTTAATCAAACATTTTGAGTTGACTTCACTTTACAGTGAATAAAAACACAATGACAGGTTTGAACGAATGAATGACTAACGTTAGCTGTTATGAGAAGGACTACCAAACTGTCTAAAGTTTTAAACCTGAACTCGAGTAAACACTAGTAAGGTGAGGAAAGTTGTTCTGGAAAACTGTGTGAGACGCAGATTAAAGTGCTGAACCCATTTTATTTGGACATCATACTGAAATGTATGTAATGTTAGCTCGTTTATTCTCTTAGGCTAATATTAGCCGGATAACATACACTTACAAAACAGGCTTTTGGGCTTTACTAAAACATTATATTTAATAAACATGTATCACAAATAACTCAAACTTACTTTAGAGAAATTATATTAAAATAAAACTTTAAGAATGAAAACACAGGCCTTAAAAGCTGTCGATTTATGTTAGCACTGACGCTAATAAGCAACCGTTCAAGCTTAATAAACACAAATCGTTTGTTACCTTATTCAGTCTTGTTGCGATACGTTCTTATTTGGAAATTACATATCCATATGATTAATTTTGTTACAAATTCACCGACTCTAACAACTACCCTCGGATAGCGCCATGCTAAAAGAAGAATAATCTACTTCCGGGGGTGAACGCGAGGTTCATGGGAAATTGAGTTGTTCTGTTCTTCTTTTTCTTCGGTTTTGGGAGCATGATTTCTCACATGGAAGACACAGATTTTCAAAACTCTACACTGATCAGAATGTTATACATTTGTTTCAAGTCATATTTCACATAATAATTGACAAAAGATTTCAACAAATATGTGACGAGAACAGCTGGATTAATTACTGAAAAACAACATAATGATTTTTTTTTCTATTTATTCATTTAAATCAACAAAACATCGATTGTTTGATATGTTCAATCTGCTGTTTTCTGAGATATATTCTGTAAACAGCTATTGTCTTTTCCCATACTGCATCACTTCAACTGAATTATGATTCATTGTTATTTCCTCATATTCTTATTTGAATGCAGGCGTTCAATTGTTCCAATAATGAATACTGTTGAACATTAAAACAGTAAGAAGTTTGTGTGATGACTGTGACTTCCAATAATGTCTCGGTTGCTATATCCAGATCAGGGGCGCCCCCATGGGGTGGCCACGGCCACCACCAAACTCACCCCACCCCGGTGGCCACCCCAATATGATTTTGCTGTTGACATTAACTTTTTTGATCTCCAGCCACTGTGGCTAGTAGATTTCCAACACCACTAGCCACTAGCCATTTTCACTAGCCACACTTTTTTTGTTGGTAAAAAATATTTTGCTTAAATTGGACTTTGACATGCTAAATTACTTGATTTAGATATTGTGTTATGTCCACATGCCTCCTCATTCATTTAACTTGTAGTGTGTATTGTGTATTAGCTTGCTCAGTGTGCATGAGCAAATGGGTTGTGTCGCAATGCAATCAGCTTTTATTTCACGACTTTTCAGGGCTCAAAATTAAGGATTAACCAAATTTATCTCTGACCACACCAATTAAGTATTTTTTAGCCACAATTTTTTTAATGTGTAAAAACAAGAAAAATAAAGCTTTATAGGTGCATTTTAAATTCAACAAAACTTTTCTTTAAAAAACCATTACATTTAAAAAATAATTATTGCCATGTATCTAAAATATGCACAGTAATCTGTCCTGGCTAAAAGTCCCAAATCAGCAGTTAACTACACATAAATGGGGAGTAATCTCCCATTAAAGCAATGTTATTGTAAAAAATTATATTTAAACCCTATTAACAAAAATAATTGTAAGCAAAAGTAAGCAGTTGAACCATACCGTGCACATGGTTAATGTTTGGCCTGTTAATAATCTCTTCTAAGAATAATTAAAATGAAAGTAGTGACCGCTGCTGCTAACAAAAGAATGTGTGTATTTTTTTTAAATCTTGAGCTCTTGAAAGCAGCAGGATTGTGGGAGCACGATCATCGTTTGTCCAGTCTATTTCAAAGAACTGCATCCCAGTCATCATAAAAACTGCAGATGACCTATTGGAACCAGCATGGACCCAAGATTCTCACAGATATCAGTCAAGTTTGGTGAAGGAAAAATCATGGTTTGGGGTTAAATTCAGTATGGGGGCATGCGAGAGATCTGCAGAGTGGATGACAACATCAACAGCCTGAGGTATCAAGACATTTGTGCTGCCCATTACATTATAAACCACGGGAGAGGGCAAATTATTCAGCAGGATAGCGCTCCTTCTCATACGTCAGCCTCCACATGAAAGTTCCTGAAAGCAAAGAAGGTCAAGTTGCTCCAGGATTGGCCAGCCCAGTCACCTGAAATGAACAATATTAAGCATGTCTGGGGTAAAATGGAGGAGGCATTGAAGATGAATCCAAAGAATTTGTCAGCATAGAGGGAAAGGTCAATGCAGCAATGTACAGAGACATCCTGAATGAAAACCTGCTTTAGAGTGCTCTTGACCTCAGACTGGGGCGATGGTTCATCTTCAAGCAGAACAATGACCCAAAGCACACCGCCAAAATATCAATGGAGTGGCTTCACAATAACTTGGTGAATGTCCTTGAGGGGCCCAGCCAGAGCCCAGACACAAATCCTATTGAACATCTCTGGAGAGATCTGAAAATGGCTGCACACCGTCGCTTACAATCCAACCTGATAAATCTTGAGAGGTAATGCAAAGAGGAATGGGCAAAACTTCCCAAAGACAGGCGTGCCAAGCTTGTGGCATCAAATTCAAAAAGACTTGAGGCTGTAATTGCGGCCAAAGGTGCATCAACAAAGTATTGAGCAAAGGCTGTGAATATGTCTGTATGTGTGATTTTTCAGGTTTTTTATTTTAAATAAATTTGCAACAATTTCAAAAAACCTTTTTTCACATTACCATTATGGGGTATTGTGTGTAGAATTTTGAGGAAATAAATGAGTTTAATACATTTTGGAATAAGGCTGTAACATAAAGAAATGTGGAAAAAGTGAAGCGCTGTAAATACTTTGTGGATGCACTGTATGTATGTATGTATGTATGTATGTATGTATGTATGTATGTATGTATGTATGTATGTATATATATATATATATACATATATATATATATATATATATACATATATATATATATATATACATATATATATATATATATACATATATATATATATATATATACACATATATATATATATATATACATATATATATATATATATATATATATATATATATATATATATATATATATATATATATATATATATATATATATATATATATATATATATACATATATATATACATACATATATATATATATATATATATATATATATATATACACACACACACACACAGTGTGTAGGTTAATAATATCTGCTATTACACAGGGCAACAATATCTCTTTTTGTTTAACTATAGCTTAAATAAAGCTATAATTACAGTTTTTCAAGAAACAGCCCTTAAACACTTGCATTTGATTCCTGAACATTTATCATTAGCATCAGCAAAATTATGAATAGAAAAAAAACATATATTTTATAAACATTAATGATTATTCTTGATCCCACATTTCAAAATATCCCACAAAATAACACATAAGTTGTAATAGGTAACACAACAATATTTCTAAAATATATATTATTTAAAGGTGATTGTAAATTAAAGGAGGCCTATAATGCGCCTTTTACAAGATGTCAAATAAGTCTCTGATGTCCCTCGAATGTGTATTTGAAGTTTCCCCATAATGTTTTGCAACTCAGAGACTACCCGTTTTAGGCTTTGATCCTAATTGTGCCATTTTGGTGACTGTTGCTTTAAATTTAAATAAGATTGTGCACTTACCAAAAGAGGGCGGAGCTACAAATGCGTTTGTGTCAGCATAGTGGCAAATTCAAAAACAAGGCTAAAGTCTTATGCTAATTAGGGAGAGATCGTGACTAATGGGCGGGGCTTACCCCCTCTAACGAATCCTACAAAGGGAGAATGTCAATTAAAGTGCTTCTGCAGACTGTTTTTAGCAAGTGTGACTATAAAACATAAAATGAATACATCCTTACTATTAGAAGCTGGGTATATTTACAGACTGTTGCCACACAACTGTGTTTAACCCCTTATAAAAGTAATTCTTGCGTAATAAGTCCCCCTTTAAAGAAACAAACTAAAGTTTAATGAAATACAGTCTAAACATAATCATATTATACTGTAAAGCAGCAGCAATACAACCCACTATACTAGATCAGATACACTGGTCAAAGACGGGAGTTGGAACATGAATTTGAATATTTTTCTGTTCAGTTTCTCTTTTGTTCATTTCAGTGATTGCCCTTCATTTCTTTAATAAGACCCTCTTCTTCCTCTTCAAGCGCACTGAAGAATTTCTGTTTTGAAGAATGGCCCTGATGCTCAATGATGTCAAAGACGCTCCTCATTTTTTCCTGAGTCGTGTTCATTGCTCTGATTTTACTCATCAGTTCATCCTCAATAATGTCTACTAGGTGATCTAAAACAGCTTCAGCATTTCTCACGTTTTTGATAAGTTTGACTCTGTTGCATTTCAGGAAGGATTCACCTGTAAAGGGTAATAGTCATCATCACACAATTTAAATATACACAACATACAGTATAGTCAAAATTTTTAGAACGATAAGATTTTTCTATATCTTTTCAGCTTACGTAGCCACTGTTTACTTGATCCAAAGTACAGCAAAAACAGTAACATTTAGAACTCTTTGTCTATTTAAATATATTTTAAAATGTAATTTATTCCAATGACTTCAAAGCTGATTTTTTTAGCATCAGTACTCCTTCAGAAATCATTCTAATATGCCAATATACTAAAAAAATTCCTTCAATGAATATTAAGTTTAGATGATCAACATATTTTTAAAATATGTATATTTTTTGCGACATTATAAATGTCTTCACTTTTGATCAATTAAATAGCAAAAATAAAAGCATTAATTTTAATAATTTCTTCAGCAAAAATAACTAACTAAATAAATAATAAATAAATAAATAAAAATACTGTCTATTTCGAGTGTGCACTACGTGAAAAAAGCCTTGTCGCCATTCCAAGTTTTAGGAACAACAAATAATAACTTGACTTCTGGTTGATCATTTGGAATCAGAATTGGCTTATTCAATTCAATTCACCTTTATTTGTTTAGCGCTTTTACAAAGTAAATTGTGTCAAAGCAGCTTCACATAGAAGATCATAGTTACTTGAAACAGTGTCAGTTCATATTTATATGTAAGGCAAAGGCCTCTAGATTACACTTATTTTACCAAATTACATTTGATCATGCCTTGATTTTCAATTATTTAATTAGGACAGTAAGGTCTCACTTTGCTTAGGCTTAAGTCTTGTCACTTAACAGAAATAATGTACAGTATAGAATATAAAGTCATGGTGCAGTGGAAAAATAATTAATATTGTGTATGACTCCCATGAGCTTGGAGGACTGCATCCATACATATCTGCAATGACTCAAATAACTTATTAATAAAGTCATCTGGAATGGCAAAGAAAGTGTTCTTGCAGGACTTCCAGAGTTCATCAAAATTCTTTGGATTTATCTTCAATGCCTCCTCCTTCATTTTACCCCAGACATGCTCAATAATGTTCATTTTTGTGACTGGGCTGGCCAATCCTGAGCAACTTGACCTTCTTTGCTTTCAGGACCTTTGATGGGGAGGCTGAAGTATGAGAAGGAGCGCTATCCTGCTGAAGAATTTGCCCTCTCCTGTGGTTTGTGATGTAATGAAGGCACAAATGTCTTGATACCTCAGGCAGTTGATGTTGCCATCCATTACGCAGATCTCTCACATGCTCCCATACTGAATGTAACCCCAAACTATGATTTCTCATTCACCAAACCTGACTGATTTCTGTGAAAATCTTGGGTCCATGCAGGTTCCAATAGGTCTTCTGCAGTATTTGTGATGATTGAGATACAGTTCAACAGATGATTCATCAGAAAAATTTACCTTATTCTTTTCCAAATGATCAACTAGAAGTCAAGTCATTATTTGTTGCTCTTACAACTGGGATCAACGACAAGACATTTGTCAGGAATTGTTCAATGTTACAATTTTTTTTTATTTCAGATTAATGCTGAAAATAACACAACTGTTAATAAATATTGATAGTAGTAGTAGTAATAAACGTTTCTTCAACAAAAAAAATCTAAATTTTAGAATAATTTCAATAGTAATGTAGCTAAAATTTCAGAAGAGATTTCTTTAAAAACATTATAAATCGTACTGTTCTAGGATCATATCTATGAAATGTTTGTTATGCAGGTTTGTACATCTACAGCTTATTCAAATGCAAATAAAAATGTGACGATTGTGTAAAAGGTGCTTACACTGCTTTTCGGTTAATATGTCTGGTCTGCTGTTTTCCACTATATGCTCTGTAAGATAAAAAGTATGTTAATGTAATGTAAAGTGTCTGTGAGTTTCTAAACTTTATCACTACACTGTTAATGATTTCATGTAGAATTTACAGTAACATAATGGCAGTAGTTTGCCAGCAATTTACCGTAAAGCAATCTTACAGCAAATATACTTCATTACTATGTACAGTACCCTTTATTTTGCTGTACATGTATTTTAAGAACTGTATATTTACTGTAAAATATACAGTATTTGTAGTCTTCTCACCTGTAATATATGACTGTAAAACAGCCCAAATGGTAAATTACTGTATTTCCTATAATTGGCAGGTTTCAAAAATTTTTTTAACCGTATTTCCATTCACAGCTAATTAAAATACTATTTTAATGGCACCAAGAGAATATTTCCCACAATGCAACTTTAAAAAGAAAACAATAACATACTAAATGACTGTCATACAGTAAAATACAATTCATAATACAGTTAAATACTGTGTCATTTACAAAAATCGTTAACAATGTATACCAATAACAGTATTTCACTTACTGTACCTGTAATTGTTATGTCACGGTCCCATACATCCTTAACCTTTCCTTTTTTATCGTTTCTCTTTTTGAGATGTAAACACACATTCATCACCCCATCCGGCAAGGTTATGTCAAATGTTGGATAGAAATGTTTCCACTGCTTAGTTAAATGAACCTTTGTGTCCTTAAAGAGGAAAGAGAAGGGATAATACATTTTATGAAAAGACACAACTGTTCAAATATGTAAGACTGAACGTTGGGGGGAAAGTTTGTTGTTGCTATTGGGGTAAATGTACACAGACTTTTAATTTCAGCCAGTCAGTCTCAGCACTCAGAACTGTCTTTTCATTATAAAATTGCCATGATTAAGATGTTTTCTTTAAAAATGAGTGATCTTTACTGCCTGATAGATATACGATATGAAGTGGTTCTCAGACAAGACGATAAGCACTGAATTAAATTCCATTTCCCCCGCCATGTCTTTAAAATATTTTACCCCAGTTTTTTCAATGGAGTTTCAGAGTTTGCCTGCAAATCATGACATCGCTAGCGGTGTTTCATCTCGTTTTACGTTTGAACAACTAAATGAATGCTTAAGCCTATTTAACGGAATGTATTGTAATTACATTACAACATCGATGCTGTAAAAGGAACTTTATGAAATTAAGAATAGTTACATTAGGCTTATACCGGAAGTTTATCATTGGCTCAAAATCACTAGCTGTGCATATACCCTATTAATTTCAATAATTTATCTAAATAGCTTGAACTGATATGGGATGTAATTAAGAGGACAACTCCCATTATTCCACACTCATCAAACTATGCCTTTGTTTGTTGTGAATATGCACATCTAGCAGTGAAAATTATGTACTGTACCTTTAACTCAGATAAACCTCATATAAACAGAAATCAATGATTCATAATCCTTCAAACTTGTGGAAAAATGGGACTTTGTGGAAAAAGGTAATAGTCATATGCTGTTTAAAAGATTTTTTACATTTTACAAAAAATGTTTATTCTAATGGTCATTCCACTTTTAAAATCTTTCACATTAAATAAAAGTGTTACTTGTTTCCCTGTACACTCAAAAAATTAAAAAGAATTACATTGAAGATTATCATTAACTGTTTGTAACCTTTAGACTTTATTTAATTTGTCAATTCTTTTAAATGTATGTTGTCAGATTCCTTAGAATCAATCAAAATCTGTTAAAATTAATACTACTAGATTTAATCAGTTAAAATATGAAGAATTCAGATGCAAAAACCTGTAAGCACTGTCTGAAATTTCCATCTAAAATTTTAAAACTTTGTTTATTTTGAATAATTTCACTTTAAAGACCAGGAAAAGGTTTTATTCTTTGCCATATCTGTGATATTACTGACCCTACAGACAGGAGCCTGATAAAAATGTTCATTTTAGAGAAAATTTTCAGACAGCAGTTTTGCATCTGAACTCTTTATATATTTATAACATATTTATATGTCTAGCTGTAGAAAAAGTCAGATCCAATTAGTTAAATTCTATGAGATTGGTTTACTTATTATCCGAGAGCAAAACTGACACAGCTCCACACTCCACACAATAGATTAATTAATAAGAAGCATTTAAAACACATTTGATTTATTGATATTATTACATAAATCTTCTTATTATTTTTTAAACTTATGTTTAACTAACTAATATCAAGCACATAAGGTTTATTAGTTCAATTATGTTAAAAATATGTAATCCACATGGATGGACATTTTATATGCAATCAGAATACATAAATCTTATTTGCTTTTTTGTTTTTTGAGTGTTTTTCTGAAATTTACAAGCAATTTCTGAGTGGAAGTTTTCATTTTAGTTTTGTTTTGTCTTTTTCCACTGTAAAGATGAACTTTTTTTGATACACGATTTCCCATGATTACGTTCTAATACTAGCCTTTGGTTGTATTCGTGGTACAGGCCTCTCTGAAAGTCCATGCTCATCAACAGGATCAAATTCAGCAGGATCACAGGACATGCTGTACACACCGTTATATTTCAGCATGCATTCACAAGGTAACTGGATGAATTTATAATTACTATCACATTTTTCCACCTAAAAAGAAAAAAAAACTGGTGCTTATGTAGTTAAACCAAAATGAAGCAAAACAGAATTCAACAAAAATATTTACAGCTTACTTCTCGGGGGTCCACATTGCGTGGTAGCAGAAAAACATGCAGCTTGTGTGTTTGCTGTTTGTAGAAAATCATCACTTGGCCGAGTACACGATTGTTAAACCAGTTAACTTTTCTGGAAATTAAAAACTTTGACGTTCCTGAGATGGTCACTGTAACGTGTGTGCTTGTGATATTCTGAGGTTTCAGAATATCAATGGTCTGATTTGAGTAATGTATAACCGACATGTAGTCATGGGCATCCTCTGTGACAAAAAAATAAAAATAAAAAACAAACAATCCAATATCCTTTACATTTGGAAAATGTGCAATGCAAATTAATATTTTTAAAGGAACTGTTTTAGAAATAGGCTCACTTTACAACTCCCCTATAGTTGAATTCATTCAGCCAATCTTTATGTCTGGCAGGAGCACTTTAATCATTAAATCGGAAAAGAGCATTAGCATATACCCCTCAAAAAAAGACTTTAGATCATTTTCTTATTTAAAGCCTACCTATTCTGTAGTTACTCTGTGTGTCAAGACCAATGGAAAAATAAAAGTTGCTATGGAAATGTACTCTCATTCTGGCATAATAAACAAGGAATTTTGCTGGTGTATCATGACTGCAGCAGATGTAAGGATATTACAAAGTGCTGTTAGCAAGTTACCTAGCTGGGGACTACTTTCAGGTTTCCCAGTACTGGGTTGCAGCTGGAAGGGTATCCGCTGCGTAAAAATATGTGCTGGAATAGTTGGTGGTTCATTCCACTGTGGTGACCTCTGAAATAGAGACTAAGCCGAAGGAAGAACTTTTTTCAGGCACTGCATAATATCATTGTGCCTGCTGCAGCCATGGTAAGGCAGCAAAGTTGGTCAATGTAACTACAGAAGAGTCAAGCTTTACATAGGAAAATGATCAAAAGTCATTTTCGAAATGTTTGATGCTAATGGTTGTAAGAATTGAAATATTGCAAATATTCTGATATCTTTGACAATTCAAAACATGAGCTGAAAACAGAGACTGGTGACTTCACAACCCACCAGGGGGGAATGCTGGAAAAACCAGTTCCTGCTGCATTTGCATCTGAGGCCCCGTTTACACTAGTGCGTTTTAGTTTGAAAACGCATAAGTTTTGCTACGGTTACGCCATCCGTCCACACTACGCCGGAGTTCTCGAGTGCCGAAAACGGAGCTTTTTGAAAACGCTGGAGAGGCCGTTTTCATTCTAAAACGCTGCTGCTCCGTCTCAGTGTGGATGGGGAAAGACGGAGACATCTGAAAACGGAGGCGGGACTGCAAACGTTCGCCTATCTGATTGGGGCTTTTCCTCAATATTAAGTAGCCTAACACACACAGTTCAGTCTCGCATCCTCTTCTTGTAAATTAAGACTTCGCAAGTTTGATCAAGGCTGCAGTCTCCCCCTTCTCAGTTTGATATGGAAAACATACCGAGGACACGGGTGAATCTTCAAAGGGAACAGTGTACTTTATAACTTCATTCACATCACCTTGGCTACGTTGTTTCACTTTCTCAACAATAAAATGTAAACATGATTTAAGGAACTGCCTATTTTCATTTTAATATTAGCAACTAAACAGACAGCAGAAATGTTGAGGCGCCGTGCTGAATATATGAGCGTCATCTTCACTGTGTGAATATTTATAACAAAACGGAGCCTATAACAACTGCCTCCTTTCAATTTCATTGAAAATACGAAACGCACCCTCTCTTCTGCTGAATATCAGTTTTAATAATCGATAATTATATTGTAATGTATATATTATAATGTATAACATACAATAAGTTTATACATTGTAGGAAATAAAGGCAAGCGATCAGTCAATGTACCTGGATTAATCATTAACTTATCTTTGCGCTTAACCAAAACATGTTACCCGTGAACAAGTAACTTAATAGATTCCAATGACCAAAGTCAGGGAATTGGCCTATGTCGTTAGATAAAGACAACAACATCAATAAAATATCACGTTTAGCAAATATAGTGAGATTAGATCCAGCGGGAGATGCTTGATGAGCAGTCCGACAAGCAGAGCTCTCATCTGGGTAGAAATGCTGGAGCGCTTGCCCGAGAGTGTGTGTGTGGTCACGTGATGTGCGTTTTCAGCGTTTTGGTGTGGACGGAGAGCAGTTCAGAAACGCTGGGTAAAACGCGAGTGTGGACGCGGATCGTTTTCATTCTACAACGCCGTTTTAAAACTAAAACGCACTAGTGTAAACGGGGCCTGAGATTGCTGAACTCAGCTTCATCCCCCCAACTCACGCATATGGTCATTTCAATGTTTTAAATTAACCAAACTGACTTTAACCATCATGTTTGATATCATTTGAAATGTCTCAGTGCGATTGGTACAATGGTCTCATTCTCTCAGAAATAGACATAATCAGAACAATAAATATATAACTTCAGGCATCTTTTGAACCACTGTGAGGGGTGTGACTTTTACACTAAGTGTGAATGCCTTCTTTGTTATTCACACCCCCTTCCTTGAGGGAATTCTTGGATTATTTAAGGTAAGGTCTAAGAAAAACTCAGGGCGATTCTGCCTAACCAGATCAGCCCATAACATGGCTTGCGCCATGTTATGAATCTATTAAGTTACTTGCGCCATGTTATGTATATTACAAAGTCAGGTATGCATCTTTTTCATCTTGGATTTATCTTTGATAATTTGATGTTTTGTATTGATCATTTATGAATTGACTGATTGAATTGGCATAATACATTTACCTGACTAATAAATTGTAATGTTTGACCATATTTTGCTCACTCTGTAATTATTAATTCAAGTAGATTACGCTGTATCCTTGTTTCCGCACGTCTTGCGTCAGGTCAGTAGACGGACTAAAATCCAGTTGAGATGGAGCATTGGGCACACTAATTGTGTTTTAGCGATCCGGCTGACTCTTGATATTGATTCATGTGTACTTAGGTGGAAAGGGCGATAACTTCCGTCTAGGTCAACAAGGTGTTGCACGACTAACCTAGATTGGGTACCCGACCTTTGTTTGAAGGTAATATTATTCTAAATTAAGTTCATATGGGAAACCATGGGCTTGGTGAAAACCAAAGTTACTATAGAGTGCAGTAGTCGGGTACATTTATATTAATGCCCTAACCTCTAATTAGAAATGATGATTGTCTTAACTCAAAGGTGTACATCTAAGCGGGACTAACTAAAGTATTTTAGAACGAGCGCGCTGGTAGCGGCCATCTAAAGTATTAGTCAATTTACCTCTGTTTAATATTCAAGACTGACCGGAGTGTGACCGTGAGGGACGCCTTCGGCCGAGGCGATTTCTCTGAGCGACATGAGCACCCGAATGAACGGATGTAATAGTTACTAGTGAAGACAAACGGTTCAAACATTTATCTAAATTACATATTGATATAATCTTCTTAATGTTTTATAATTGGAGTCAGGTAAAACGAGGATAAATATATTAATATTCTAAACTACCTCATACTAAAATTGGAGTCAGATATGAGCTAAGTTTAATATAAATCAACATTGTGCACTGGAAAGACAGAACATGCAGTGAACCTTCATCCACCAGTGGACACCGGCATTGGGCCAACTGGGTGGACCCTACATGGTCTAATCCAATTCAATGATTTATGCTAAGCTAAGCTAAAAGTGGATTAAAAATGGTCAAACACAATTGTTCACTGCAGGGGAGTTCTAAACATAAGCCTATGTTCAAAAACAGTGGAGTGTGCCTTTTAAGTTTGCATATTCTAAACTTACCAATGGAGGCCTCACAGTGAGGTAGTCTGAGTTGAGTCAGCTCACCCTGAACACATTTGATGTCATACAGGGGTCCTGCTTGGTAATGGTTGGCAGGAACTGGACAGACACTTTCCTGAAGAACAGTGCTATACAATACTTCCCCTTCACTCTCCATGTTAAAACCAATCTGCGTAAACGCACAACGGTACCAGCCTGCATGACGGCATTGTAGCCTATAACATTAAAAAAACATATCAAATATAAATAGAAGCGTATAAACTTTGCTAGCTCTGCCTGTTTCTTGGTATAATACCTGTATTTACTTTGGCCGCCTTGTATGATGATGTCAGGGTAGAACAAAAAATCCTTCTCGTCTAATTTCTGTGGAAATTATAAAGCATAGTGCAACTGCATTGTCAAATTAAACAAATCTGTATTAAATGATAAAAGAAATGACATTTTACAAAACGGGACCCATAGTTAATGTTAAAGTAATTAGTAATCACATGAAAAAACAATGAATGATACATTTATTAAAGTGTTTATACATGTTTGATAATGCTATTTAATAAAAATACAGTTCATTGTCATTTTTAGCTCACATTAACTTGTGGTGCATTAACTAATGTTCAAGCACAGCATTTAATTTTAATAATGCATAAATAAATGTTGAACTATGATTAATAAATGCTGAACAAGCATTGTTTGTTGTTTGCTCAGGTTCCCGTTTTGTAAAATGTGACCCAAGAAATTAACTAATGACTTACACTTAATATGTGTGAAGGAGACTGAGAATCTCCATCAAAAATGTCTGGTAATACTAGGTGCATTGAATTATTTCTCCTGATCACCCTCTGGATCCTCTCTGAAAGCGCTCTCCTCTCTGTGATTTCAGGTGCATAGCCAAAGATGTAGGTGTTGTGTCTACATTTTTCAAGAAGCCACTCCAGTGTGCTTCTCTGAGCTCCAGTATAGTCATTGATGCAACAGTCTCCCTCTTTGAACACTACAATCGCACGATTCCAGAATTTCTCTCCAAGAAACTGCAAATTTTCAAGCATCTCTCTGGTCTGTTCTGCGAATTGGCCACGATGAAGAGAAAATGCAAGCAGAACAACATGAGGCCCAAGAGACAGTTTTTCCCATTTAAGGATCCTCTTGATATTGGAAATATCAACGTCGACCAAGTGCACTTGTTGGTTGTTCATTGAACCTTCAAAAACCTTTAATTTCCCACTGCTAACTTCATCATAAGTTCCATTATCAAAAATAAGTTGTCCAATGCATTTGTCTGGGACATCGATTTCCATGAGCCAGATCCTTATCCCTGTGAGTGGAAAGCTTTCACCTATTTAAAAAAAAAAAATTACATTTGTTTACATTTATTTTTTAATTACAGCATGAAACATTTCAAAATTCCACATTGTTCATCTAAAACAGAGATGCCTAAAGTAGGGCCAAAGTTGGCCCATGGTAACCTTTAATTTGGCCCTCCATGCCCTCTGAGAAGAGAGGAAGAAGGATGGGCATCATTTAGAGATTGTCATTTTAAATCTAATGTAACCTTTTGTTTGTTTGTTTGTTTTATTGATTAAAGTTAACTGAAATGAAATGTTTTAATAAAATGGTTTAAATTAATCATATTTAGTTTAAATGTGCATATTGTTACCTGACAGGACAAATTAAGGCAAGTACAGATTCTGCTTGACTAGTGTATTTAGCAGTAAACTCCACTGTTATAAATGTGATTGTTTATGCTTTTATTGCAATAAGTTATCATTTAAATTGTTATACTGCATTAGTTAATACGATTTAAAGTAATGTTTTCTAAAAAAAATTAGGAAATTAACAATGGCAACTTCAATGTGATGCAATTTGGTATATTTATCTTCGGCCCACGGCTCTCAGTGATATTTGGTTTTTGGCCCTTATATGAAAAGGTTTGGGCACCCCTGATCTAGAAGATACAACCACTGAGTAACATGACAACATATGATGTCATAATACATGACAATGTTAAAGGGACCATTCACCTCAAAATGTAAATTCTGCCACCAATAACTTACCTTTTACTTTTTCTGTTAAAAACAAAAGGATATTTTCAAGAAAGCTGAAAACATATAACCAAGAACTTCCATGGTATTTGTTTTTCTTACTAGGGAGTTCAATGACTACAGGATTTTTAGCTTTCTTCAAAATGTCTTCTTTGGAGTTTAACAGAAAAAAAAAACTTTAAAAGGTTTGGAACCTTTCGAGGATATGTACATTTCAGTAGATTTAAAATTTTGGGTGAACTATCCCTTAAACGTAATGCCAAAATTTAATTTAGTTTACATACACTGGCCCATTCTTTCAAATAAGATCCATAGAAGTGTAAACCAAATTAGTGCCCAACCATGAATTAGACATATCATTACGTCCTTTTATTAACGTGAAAATAGTTAAAAGAAGCAAAGCAATCTTGTTTAATCCCAAGCAACACATGCATTGTTTAAACGTGTATCTTGAATAGACTGCATATTGCTGCAATGTCTCTGTTAAATTTAAAGGCATAGTTCACCCGAAAAAGATAATTTCCTCATTATTTAAGTTCCAAATCTTTAATAAATTCTTTCTTCTGTTGAACACAAAGAAGATCTTTTTTAAACAAAGCTGTAAACTTCTAATCACTAACATCCACAGTAGGAAAAACAAAAACCACTTAAGTCAATGGTTACAGGTTTCCAAGTATCTTATTTTGTGTTTAACTCAAGAAAGTCAAAATGGTTTAGAACAAAAGAAAGCTCCGACCCTACTCAATTTTCCGGTTCACACAGAATTATTTAAGGGATAAGTCAGTGGTATTTACCATATGCAATCTAAATATATTGCTATACACTCACCAGCAACTTTGTTAGGTACATCTGTCCAGCTGAGTATTAACTCAAAATTCTAATCAGCATGTGAGTGCATGGCAGCAACTCAATGCATTTAGGCATGTAGACATGGTCAAGACGATCTGCTGCAGTTCAAACAGAGCATCAGAGTGGGATAGAAAATGTTCAAAATCTAAGTGACTTTGAACGTGGCATGGTTGTTGGTGACAGACGGGCTTATTGTCTGAGTATTTTAGAAACTGCTGATCTACTGGGATTTTTACGTACAACTCATCTCTAGGGTTTACAGAGAATGGTCTGAAAAAGAGAAAATATCCAGTGAGCGGCAGTTCTGTGGGCGCAAATGCCTTGTTGATGCCAGAGGTCAAAGGAGAATGGCCAGACGGGTTCCAGCTGACAGAAAGGCAACAGTAACTCAAATAACCTTTCATTACAGCCGAGGTCTGCAGAAGAGCATCTCTGAATGCACAACACGTCCAATCTTGAGGCAGATGGGCTACAGCAGCAGAGAACAAAACACTGATGGTCTCTCCTGTCAGCTAAGAACAGGAAACTCGGGCTACAGTTTGCACAGGCTCACCAAAATTGGACAATAGAAGAATGTAAAAATGTTACCTAGTCTAATGAGTCTTGATTTCTGCTGCGACATGTGAATGGTAGGGTCAGAATTTGGCATCAACAACATAAAAGCATGGATCCATCCTGCCTTGTATGAAAGATTCAGGCGGCTGGTGGTGTAATGGTGTGGGGGATATTTTCTTGGCACACTTTGGGCTCATTAGTACCAATTGAGCATCGTGTCAACGCCACAGCCTACCTGAGTATTGTTGCCGACCATGTCCATCCCTTTATGAACACAGTGTATCCATCTTCTGATGGCTACTTCCAGCAGGATAACGCGCCATTTCATAAAGCTCAAATCATCTCAGACTGGTTTCTTGAACATGACAATTAGTTCACTGTACTCAAATGACCTTCACAGTGATCAGATCTCAATCCAAAAGAGCACCTTTAGGATGTGGAGTAACAGAAGATTCACATTGTGGATGTGCAGCCGACAAATCTGCAGCAACTATATGATGCTGCCACGTCAAACTGAACCAAAATCTCTGAGGAATATTTCCAGTACCTTGTTAAATCTATGCCACGAAATATTAAGCCAGTTCTGAAGGCAAAAGAGGGTTCAACTCTGTACTAGTGAGGTGTACCTAATAAAGTGTCCATGAGTGTACATTGTTTAGGTTCTGTAATTTCAATTTAATGACACAAATGAAAATACAGTATTTAAATGACTGGCCAGCTTTTTTGAACTGACTAAAACTAATTATAGTAACTTGGTAGGAGTGGACATATACTGTTGAAATCAGAATTATTAGCCCCGTTTATTTTTTCCCTAATTTCTGTTTTACGAAGAGAAGATTTTTATAGCACATTTTTAAACATAATAGTTTTAATAACTCATTTCTAATAACTGATTTATTTTATCTTTGCCATGATGACAGTATATAATATTTGACAAGATATTTTTCAAGACACTTCTATACAGCTTAAAGTGACATTTAAAGACTTAACTGGGTTAATTAGGTTAACTAGGCAGGTTAGGGTAATTAGGTGAGTTATTGTATAACAATGGTTTGTTCTGTAGACTAGTAAAAAAAATATAGCTTAAAGGGGCTAATAATGTTGACCTAAAAATGGTCCTTAAAAATTAAAAACTGCTTTTATTCTAGCCGAAATAAAACAAATAAGACTTTCACCAAAAGAAAAAAATATTATCAGACATGCTGTGAAATTTTCCTTGCTCTGTTAAACATCATTTGGGAAATATTTAAAAAAAAGAAAAAAAAATTCAAAGGGGGGCTAATAATTCTGACTTCAACTGTATAATGCTTACACATCACATATCAAAAAATTATATTAAAAATAAAATGACTCAAAATTAAACAGTAAAAAAACATAAAATTACACTTACCAAAATCAAGTCCACCTCTTTGAGCTCTTTCATATGACTCTACAGCCTTGACTTTTTCACCCTTCACTTCATGAATGAATCCCTGAATGGCACACACCTTGCTGTCATTGGGATTTTTCACCCTATTAATTCGATGTTTGATTATCCTTTCCAGACTCTCCTCACACATCCTGCCTTGTTTTGATTTTGGTTGCAGCATCAAACCTTGCGAGAAATTATGGATGGCCAGTTCTTCAGATCTTCTGCTATAGAGCTGGTATTGCCCATAAAAATTATAGACTGCCTGCAGATGTTGCTTTTCCTTATTAGCCAATTTAAATGCTTCGTCAAAGAGGGTCTTAGCTTTGGAGCAACCACTCTGTCCATATTGAAGAGCTAAATCTGCCACAGCTATAATGAAAGTGGGCTTTAGGGAAACGGCCACTTCCAGATGATAAATTATCTTACTCAGGTATTGATGTGTTGACTCTTCAACGTCAAACTCTGCTTTACCATGTGTCCTATAGTTCTTTTCCAGAGATATCTTTTTGCTTTTGTAATTCATTGCCAGCTCATAGTGTACAAAGGCTGAGTTCGGGGTTTCCTTCAGCGCTTCTTCCAGCAGCTTGATGGCATCATCCTTCTCACCTAACTGACGATAAAACTTTGCCGCGTATCTTATAACATGTGGGTCATAAGGCTTCAGTAGAGCCTTAATCACCTTTAACTGGGCGGCTTTGACATCATCTTTGTTATGCTGCATTCTCAATGCAAGCATCACCAGTAGGACACCATCATCTGGATTAAGCTTTATGGCTTTTTTGAGTTGCTCCATTGTTAGCGAATCTGAGGTCTCTTTTGTGGTGCGGTACAGTGCTAAAGCATAGCCAGCATTTAAGTCGCTATCACTTGGGTTGATTTCAAGGGCCTGTCTGAAGCACTCCTTTGCAGCATTATGGTATTTGTAAGAGAATTTAAGAAAAGCCCAGCCCTTTTCTCTGAGCACTTCCATGTCATAAGTGGATCCTTCGGAAAACTTTTTTTGTATCCTGTCTAACTGTCTCAGGTAGTCTTCGCATGCAGAGATTTCATTCATGTGGTAGTGCAACCAGGCAAGATCTCCATATGTAACAATAAGAGCTTCATCGCTGTCTCTGTAGAGCTTCTTGGCGAGCTGCACTGATGTCTGCAGATTTGCGAGAGCTTCCTGCTGCTTCCCGTTGAGATACTGGATGAAAGCGAAGCTGCTGTAAGCTCTGGTTACTCTCGCCTTGTCAGATTCCAACTCAATCTGTTCCTCGAGACGATACAGCAAATCGCAGAGAACAAAGTCTTCATCCTCTCTCAGGGACCAAGTGAAATGGCACTCCTGCTGAAGCAGTTTGGTTCTTAAGGTGTCAAGACTGAAAACAGAAGGAAAAGCTTAGAGAAATGAGGAACTCGTAGGGTTGGCGCAGTGGGTAGTGTGTGGAGTTTGCATGTTCTCCTCGTGTTTGCGTGGGTTTTCTCCGGTTTTTCCCACAAGTCCAAAGACATGAGCTGTAGGTGAATTGGGTAAATGAAATTGGCCGTAGTGCATGTTTGGGAATGCGTGTGTATGGGTGTTTCCCAGTGCTGGGTTTCAGTTGGAAGGGCATCCGCTATAAAAAAACATATGCTGGATAAGTTCATTCCGCTATGGCGACTCCTGATGAATAAAGGGACTAACCCAAAAAAGAAAATAATTGAATGAATGAGCAACTCGTATAGTTTTGAATGGGGAAAAGTGTAAGGGTGCTTTCACACCTACACTTTTGTTTCGGAACGTATCTCGTTTGCCCAGTTAGCGTGGTTCGTTTGGCATATGTGAACAGGGCAATCGCGCTCTGTTCCACGCCAAAGTAATCGTTCCGAGATTGCTTGAATGAGGTGGTCTCAGCTCGATTGAAACCACCGCATCTCTCCTCAGACACGTCGCGCGCACACCGTGTCAATCACCACCAAACCACAACCGCTGCAAAATAAACCCTGACACTCTGACCAATGTGAGGAGAGTTTACTCGCACGTGACTTGTTTTAGCTCTTTTGGTCTGATTAGAAACTTTGCAGTGTGAAAGCGAACCGCTCCAAGAGCAAAGAGCAACAATGTAACATTTGTAATCTCTGTTTCGGAACAACTGAATCGATTCACAGGTGTAAAAGCACCCTAAGGGTGCTTTCACACCTACACTTTTGTTTCGGAACGTATCTCGTTTGCCCAGTTAGCGCGGTTCGATTGGCATATGTGAACAGGGCAATCGCGCTCTTTTCCGCGCCAAAGTAATCGCTCCGAGATCGCTTGAATGAGGTGGTCTCGGCTCGATTGAAACGAACCCTGGAGCGGTTCGATTGCAGTGAGAAAGCGATCCGATCCGAGCGCGGTTATATCACAGTGTTTTATGGATATGTAATAGGCTTACGGCTACATGAAGAGAGAATTATGAGTAGGGCGGGAAGTTTCGCGAGTCTCCGGATGCCCGCAAACGAGGGATAATCTCCCGGTAATCTCGCGTCTCTCTCCCAGTCCTCAAATAGGCATCGTCGCGCACCCTTCTCACCCCTCCCCACCGTGTCTCTCCTCAGACACGTCACGCGCGCGCGCGCGCTCGCACCCTGTCAATCACCACCAAACCACCACCTCTCCTGACAGCTGAGCGGGATGCTGCAAAATAAACCCTGACACTCTGACCAATGTAAGGAGAGTTTAGTCACACGTGACTTGTTTTAGCTCTTTTGGTCCGATTAGAAACTTTGCAGTGTGAAAGCGAACCGCACCAAGAGCAAAGAGCAACAATGTAACATTTGTAATCTCTGTTTCGGAACAACTGAATCGATTCACAGGTGTGAAAGCACCCTAAGTCCCGCCTTCTAGTTAAGAGAGGATTCACTACATTTACATGGACATCAGTGATCTAATTATTTGCCTTAATCTGAATAAGCAGGCACAGTGGCTCAGTGGTTAGCACTGTTGCCTCACAGCAAAAAGGTTGCTGGTTCAAGTTTGTATGCTCTACCCGTGTTGGTTCTCTCCGGATGCTCCGGTTTTAACCAGTCCAAAGACATGCACTATAGGTGAATTGGATAAACTAAATTGACCATAGTGTATGAGTCTGTGTGAATGTGAGAGTGTAAGGGTGTTTCCCAGTACTGGGTCGTGGCTGAAAGTGCATCCGATGCGTAAAACAAATGCTGCAATGGTTGGCGGTTCATTCCTCTGTGGCGACCTCTGAAAAATTAGAGACTAAGCCGAAGTAAAATGAATGAATGAATGAATGAATGAATGAGACAATAATATGATCAAGGTGTTTACATGATTTGATTTTTGAATGTTCTTTCACAATCCTGTTTTACATGTTATAGCACATAGATTGATTGAATCACCGCACTATCCCCTTTTTCCATGGAGTTTCGTGTAATTTCAGGTTTTAATTTTTAATTTTACAGAGAACAGTGCCAAACAACCGTGTGTTTATGAAATATCCTGTTGCAAAATTAATTTCCTTTCTGTTTAGTTTGATTATGACTGTAATTGGATCAAGGCAATAAAAAATGGCTGTTTACATGGTAGACTCTTAATCAAAGTATTGTCTTAATCATATGAAAATAAGAGTGTTGTGTATAACAAAACCTTTTAGTGCGTTACTGCCACCTTTCGCTCTGGTCTGTGACGTCACCAACCAATTAGGCTAACATAAGAAATTTGCTTGATGGCAAGATGAATGAGGGACTGGGAGAGGAGTTTTTTTTTTGAAGCAGAATTCATCATGACCGTACCTTGAGAAGTACGTTTACATGAAATAAAGTTAATTCTGATGTTGCGCTCAAAAATATTTTAGTAATCAATAGTAAGTACTATAATGTTTTCGAACTACACAATAGTGACGCACTGAAATTAGTTTTTTGTAGTACTTATATATTATTAGTATATATATATTATTTTCAACACATTTCCAAACATAATAGTTTTAATAACTTATTTCTAATAACTGATTTATACAGCTTAAAGTGACATTTAAAGGCTTAAATATGTTAATTAGGGTAACTAGGCGGGTTAGGGTAATTATGTGAGTTATTGTATAATGATGGTTTGTTCTGTAGATTATTGAAAAAATATAGCTTAAAGGGGCTAATAATTTTTACCTTAAAATGGTTTTTAAAAAATTAAAAACTGCTTTTATTCTAGCCAAAATTAAACAAACAAGACATTCTCCAGAAGAAAAAAATATTATCAGACATACTGTGAAAATTTCCTTGCTCTGTTAAACATCATTTGGGAAATATTTTAAAAAGAAAAAAAAATCAAGGGTGGGCAAAAATTCTGACCTCAACAGTAAATATTATATGCAATTACTCTTCATGATAGTTACTATTGATGCTACATTATATAGTGTAAATCATGATGAAGAGTTGTAAATATATAAATATGCACACACCGTACAATATAATGCTCATTCCCAAATATTTCCCTTTACTATAAATTACTATAATAATTTAAATGTGTTTTATTGGATTTTTTTTGTTTTGATGTTATATTCTATAACTTGTTTCTGTTTGGTACAGCATTTACAGTAAATAATTGAACTGAGCAATTATGCCTGATTGACAGTTTTCACTAACACATTGAGGTGGATTTAAGTAGCTTCGATTTAAACATGAAAAGTGCAAAAATAGTTTAGATGTAGTTTAGATTTAGCTGCTACTTTTGCCAGTAGCTTTTAGCTTAGCATGCTACATTTCCCATAGGGTAGCTTTTATTGTGTTCGGAGCACCCAGAGGAAACCCGAGCAAACGCGGGGAGAACATGCAAACTCCACACAGAAATGCCAACTGATGCAGCCGAGGCTCGAACCAGCGACCTTAGTTCATTACATTTTTAGATAGCTTGCCCAACACTGTTAAAAAGTAACTTAGCTTTAAAGTCTAAAGTTTCTGGACACCTGGAGTTTGTTTCCAGAAAGAATTCATTTAGTGTATAAACATTTAAACACATAAACACGCGTTCATATTTGCTGGCATGTTGCCATTTTATTTTCTTGAATCCACTTTCGGATTTAGTCACGTTCCCGTGCAGACATAAAACCACAGATAACCAAGTCAAAGACATTGTGTAAACAATTAAAAAGATCAAAATCCATTCATATAAGGCGAAATAATTCCATTTTCTGAATTTAAAAGCTCAAAAGGACTGATTTGCACAGCTGCAGCTTTCTCTGCGTGTATACGAATGCTGTCCTACATTTAATTCTTTATAGAACAAACCAACCAACCAACCCACCTCATTTTGAATCTCTTCACCAAGAATCAAATGATCCTGAAGTAGTTTTTTGCAGTTAAAAAATACGTTTTAAATGTCCCGAGCTCAGAAAGGTGAACAGGAAGAGTTTAAAAACAAAACCTAAGCTTCGCCTCAGGTAAGGATGGCTGACGTGAAACTGACGTTTCGACACAGTGTCGAGATCCCGAAGCGCAAGTGTTTCGAAACACTGCACCGAAGCATGATCCGAAACACCCAGGTCACGTGACTAAATTGTTTCGAAACACCTGGTCACGTGACTAAAGCGATTCAAAGCATTGATCATTTCAGAGGCGTTTCATGACCCGGAGAATCTGCATTTGACTGGCATGATCAACGATGTAACTGTGTTTTGTATGGCTTAGTGGATCGTGCTTGTGCACAACACAAATTTATATTGGGTTCGAATCCCGACTAGTCCAAATACTACAAAATCATGATTTTATATATTTTAATCATGTTACTGTTTTATGGTGTAGTCTAGATAGGATACAGCTACGGATATGCCATCGATTTAGCATCATTTTTGTAACACTGTAAAACAATAATTCATATTTTTACAGTACTGTGATGGGTTTAGGTTTTGGATAGACGTTAATAAAATACAATGGGAAATTTAATTAATAATATAAATAATTATTGTTAACTTCTGGCCACAACTGTATCTGATCTAGCAACAACCCTGTTTTATGAACAAAACAATACAAATTTATTTACAAGGTGTTTATTCGTATGTCATAGCAATGTTGACACAAAACGATACAATAACAAAGCATTACCAACTGCTATTGACGCATTTCAAAATAATTGTTTCAGTATGGATTCGAACTCATTATTCCCGCATGGTGTTCACGGACTCTAACCGCTCGTATAAACCACTTGCAGACTCAAGGCTGCAAAGTGGGGTTTCATACCCTAATTTCAAGTGTGCCGCAAGCCTACGTTTGAGTGAAGGTTTCGGCCGTTAGATCGCCCCCTGGGGGCTGGCTGCAGTACAAGTCATAAAGCCCGCCTCCTCCGTGTTAATGAAGGAGACTTGAGCCCAAATAAAAAAAAATATTACACTTGCAATAAAATGTCCCGAAAGATAGTTCTGGTCGATTAAGGCACTGGTTATTGTGCTGAAATAGGTGCAGATCTTCATTTTTGTGAACAGTTTTTTTTAGCAGTAATTTAATGCTGGGCGTGTCATCGTGGTTGACAGCTGTGATTGACAGTTTCTCAAAGCGCGGCGTCTGAGCTTCGGCAGGAGACTGAAGTAGACTGAAATGTTATTATTCGATTTCTGTGTTATTTTACCATGACAAAATGAGTTCAGCAGTAAACTATAGTTTCTGACATACATGATCCTGGTGGAACACTGTTTATTCGCTAAGTTCAGGGCTTTTTTCGGGCTTTATTAGTTTGCTGATACACGCCTAAGTTAGCCACCCAGATAGCAAAACAGTTCCGGCTAGATTCTCGCCTGCCGGAGACTTATCTCTTAGAGCTCAGACTGACTAATGTTACCTCTGCTGGACCTACTCCGGATGCCTGGACTCACTGCCCGATTCCAGTCCGAGTCAATCGAGCCAGATGCGGCGGCCGAGCGAGCCGGCGCTGCCGCATGCGAGCCGGAATCAGCCCGCGACGCCGCGAGTAAGTTATGCGCTGCGGCCTGGAGCTGGCGCGATTGAATATATAAAACCCTCATATTTGTTAACGTTATTACATCCATTTGTGTTGATATGACAGCAAACGCATGCTGAGAAGTTCGGGGGGCGTAGTTGATTTTACATAAAGCGTTTGATTGGAAGCTCGACTCTGCTCATTTTCGCGGCTCCTCCTCTGGCTCCATCAGACAGTCCTTCTGCGCATGTCTGGCTCCAATTTCAGCAGTCTTTTGCGACAGTTTGTGCCCGTCAAGCAGGCGTTTTGCCCTCAAGGCGTTCAATGGGAAAAAGGGCTGTCGCGTCGTCCATATTTTTTACAGTCATTGCCTAATTTGCTCAACTGTTCTTTGCTGAAGCTGTTTCAGTGAAATACAATTAAAATGACCACTAGGTGTCGCCGTAGAGTGGTGTTTCGAAACGTTTCGAAGCTTCGACACATTTGCTTCGATAGTTTCAGTGTTTCACGAAGGCAAGCACTAAATTCCAGGGGTTTCATTCAATGACTGTAAAAAATATGGACGACGCGACAGCCCTTTTTCCCATTGAACGCCTTGAGGGCAAAACGCCTGCTTGACGGGCACAAACTGTCGCAAAAGACTGCTGAAATTGGAGCCAGACATGCGCAGAAGGATTGTCTGATGGAGCCAGAGGAGGAGCCGCGAAAATGAGCAGAGTCGAGCTTCCAATCAAACGCTTTATGTAAAATCAACTACGCCCCCCGAACTTCTCAGCATGCGTTTGCTGTCATATCAACACAAATGGATGTAATAACGTTAACAAATATGAGGGTTTTATATATTCAATCGCGCCAGCTCCAGGCCGCAGCGCATAACTTACTCGCGGCGTCGCGGGCTGATTCCGGCTCGCATGCGGCAGCGCCTGCTCGCTCGGCCGCCGCATCTGGCTCGATTGACTCGGGCTGGTATTGGGTAGTGAGTCCAGGCATCCGGAGTAGGTCCAGCAGAGGTAACATTAGTCAGTCTGAGCTCTAAGAGATAAGTCTCCGGCAGGCGAGAATCTAGCCGGAACTGTGTTTTGCTATCTGGGTGGCTAGGCGTGTATCAGCAAACTAATAAAGCCCGAAAAAAGCCCTGAACTTAGCGAATAAACAGTGTTCCACCAGGATCATGTATGTCAGAAACTATAGTTTACTGCTAAACTCATTTTAAAATAACACAGAAATCGAATAATAACATTTCAGTCTACTTCAGTCTCCTGCCGAAGCTCAGACGCCGCGCTTTGAGAAACTGTCAATCACAGCTGTCAATCACGATGACACGCCCAGCATTAAATTACTGCTAAAAACAAACTGTTTACAAAAATGAAGATCTGCACCTATTTCAGCACAATAACCAGTGCCTTAATCGACCAGAACTATCTTTCGGGACATTTTATTGCAAGTGTAATATTTTTTTTTATTTGGGCTCAAGTCTCCTTCATTAACACGGAGGAGGCGGGCTTTATGACTTGTACTGCAGCCAGCCCCCAGGGGGCGATCTAACGGCCGAAACCTTCACTCAAACGTAGGCTTGCGGCACACTTGGGTTCATTACCATGACGTAAAATGGGCGTGGCTCGGTCGGTGTTTGGGAAACGCCCCCTTAAAAAAAAAAAAACAATACTGAGAGGTCACCGATCATGCGCAGTACAGGTTCTTTTTTAGCGCGGTCATTTCAAACAGGATGATTATGGATAAAGAACCTACCGCGGTGGATAACGAGGGAAAAAAAACAATCATACAGGTTATTTTTTTGTTTTTATAATGTTAAATTTTAAAAATTTCATTAGCAAAAACGGCTGACCTCGTTTTACTCTGTTTTACTGTCTCTGGGCTTTTGTACTTCCATTTTAAACCAAATAATAATGGTTGTGGTAAGATTAACCGTGTTTTTGTAGTTTAAAATGTGGTATTCAGTCATGTTTAAACAAATAAATACCACATTTTCTGTATTAAATCGTGGTTAATTTTTCTTTCTCGATCTTAGTTAAATAACATAACTCATATTTATTTTCTATTTTTCATTTAAAATCATCATACACAAAACAACTGAGATCAGGACAGGTATCTGATGTTAACTAATATAAAAGTGATCATACATGAAACCCCTGGGATCAGGACAGGTATCTGATGTTACTGTATATAAAAGTGATCATACATGAAACCCCTGGGATCAGGACAGGTATCTGATGTTACTGTATATAAAAGTGATCATACATGAAACACCTGGGATCAGGACAGGTATCTGATGTTAATGTATATAATATAAAAGTGATCATACATGAAACACCTGGGATCAGGACAGGTATCTGATGTTACTGTATATAAAAGTGATCATACATGAAACACCTGGGATCAGGACAGGTATCTGATGTTAATGTATATAATATAAAAGTGATCATACATGAAACCCCCGAGATCAGGACAGGTATCTGATGTTAATGTATATAATATAAAAGTGATCATACATGAAACACCTGGGATCAGGACAGGTATCTGATGTTACTGTATATAAAAGTGATCATACATGAAACCCCTGGGATCAGGACAGGTATCTGATGTTACTGTATATAAAAGTGATCATACATGAAACACCTGGGATCAGGACAGGTATCTGATGTTACTGTATATAATATAAAAGTGATCATACATGAAACACCTGGGATCAGGACAGGTATCTGATGTTACTGTATATAATATAAAAGTGATCATACATGAAACACCTGGGATCAGGACAGGTATCTGATGTTAATGTATATGATATATAAAGTATTTGGCACAAAAGCGTGGGATCGGGACAGGTATCTTAATGTAATCAGTATTAATGTAATCTGAGAGGTATCTTAAGTTAATGTGTTTAATATAACATACACTGACTTCACATGAAACACCTGCGATCAGGACAGCTATTTAGTACTGCATATAAAAGGCATTGGACACGAAACCCCTGCGAATACGTACAGGTATCTGAATCAAACGGCTGTTTTCACAATCTGCGCATGATCCGTGACCTATGCAAATTCACAGATAGGCCACGCCCACCCGATGACGCAGTAGCGGTTACGCTGTACTGAAACCCCTGGAAAAAAGTGCCTGCCGTTTCACGAAGCCTCGCTTTGCCCACCACTAGCCTCAGGGCCAAGTACACCCGTCTGCAGACGCCCCATATAGTCTGCAGCCCGCAGATCGGGGCGGGGCTGAACACGGGGCGGGGCTGCATATTCAGCACCGCCCATAAGTGGGCGGGACTGAACATGTCGCTCCGCCTACAAGTCTTTTTTTTTTTTTTTTTTTTTTAAATTTTTTTATTTCTTTAAATTTTTTTTCTTTATTTTTTATTTATTTTTTTTTTTTTATTTATTTATTTTTTTTTTAATTGCTTTAAGAAACTGTATAATACAATTTAGAATATAGTAAAAGATAACAGTTCTTTTACACAACAATCACATTACATACACAAGATAAGAGTAAAACTAAAACACAGTACATAAA